TTTTAGTGCAACTTCATAGAGTTTGAAAAGATTGGATGTCTCAGAAAACAAATAGAGACAATGTAAATAAATCACAGTTCAATCAAGAGTTAAGTATGGTCTAATAACTAATGAGTATTAAAGTCTGCAAGTTTTGTTCTCATTAGTTATATTTTTGGCTTCTGACATTACTGAGCTTTTATTATGCTTTTAATTAAATTTTGTATGCCTCTTATAAATCATTTATATTTAGAAGTCTGTTATAAGTTACTGTTCAATCTAGGATACAACGGCCACATCATGGAACCATTTCTATAAATGAATGACAAATAGAGACAGAAATGTTAAGCATCTAAAAAAAAATCTAATTAACCTGTTGCTACTACAAATAGGTCCTGAAGAACAGATGTATTTTTTTAAAGTAACTATAAAATACCAATTTGTACCCAGTACTATAAGATACTTTGTCCTAAGTGCTTTGAAAATTAATTTTTATTACATAATATATTCACCAATAAAATTTAGCATAATTTTTTACTTTCATAAAAAATAAATTTATGGGTCCTGAGGACACAATAGTAGTATTCTAAAATAGAAAACACACACACACAAAAGGAAAGCGGGGTGTAGTGGCGTACTTCTGTAATCCCAGCATTCAGGAAACTGAGGCAGGACAATCATTGCGAGTCTGAGACCAGACAGGGCTACAAAGTGAGCTCAAGGCCAGCCTGAACCACATAGCGAGACCCTGTCTCAAAAGGACCAAAAACAAATAAATAAATAAACTGAGTCAGTAGTAGCAGCAGGTTAAGAAATGTTTCAAACTAAAAACACAAGTATTTGTCATTTCAAATATTATCCTTTTTTTTTTTTTTTTTTTTTTTTGGTCTTTTTCGTTTTTATCGGTACCAGGGATTGAACTCAGGACTGCCTGCTTGCAAGGCAGGTGCTTATGCCGCTGAGCTAAATCCCCAGCCCTCTCAAATACTATCTTGACATTAAAACAAAACATCAAACAAAAAATGTAAGAGAAAACACAAAAAATGGAAAAAAGTCAAACTCAAAAGGCAAAAAAATTAGAATGATAAAAAGAAAAAGAAAATGTTAATGCACATTCCATATTGTGAAAAACCTAATATAATGGAAACATTAGTAGAGAGAACACTACAGAATGCACTCAGTAGGAAGAGCGGGAAGGAGGAACTGAAACAGCGGCACAGTGAGTGGGGAAGTGGGAACCGTCATCTGATGCTACCATCTAGTGCTGCAGCGTAATTCGCAATTAGGCTGCACCACTGTTCAGCCATCTCAACTCACAGGGACACAGGAACCAAGTGGGACAGGGCCTCACAACAGCCAACACTGCCAAACACAGATCTCAAGTACTCCTCTCATAACAGAAGAATGATTTTAAGTTTTATCTCAGAAGACTCACTGTGTTTTCTCTGTCAACAACATATGAGAAGCAGAAGCAAGGAGAGATTTCTAGAGCTGGTACACAATAACAGCATCACCATTAGCTAGGCGATAAAGGACACACAACACACCAAGAGTAACCACAAATAAACAAATGAAAAAGCACACTAAAACCAATTCTTGAACAACACAAGTGTTAACTTATACAAGGTCACTTATATAAGGGTTTATTTTTTATTTCTGAAGATTTTTTTTTAGAAACTCAAAGATGAACTTCATAACTACAAATACCAAAAAAATTAAGAAAAACAAATGTCATGAACGTATAAAATATATGTAGATGAGACTATTTTGTCTACTATACCGTAATATATATAGAAATTTAAACAGTTAAAGTTTATCAAAACTTACACAAACAGAGACTACATCTACAGTCAAAAGAAATGTAAAGACAGATACAGTATTAAATGCAGCTACAGAGCCAGGGATTTAACTCAGCAGCATAAGCGCCTGCCTGGCAAGCATGAGGCTGTGAGTTCAATCCCTAGTACAAAATAAATAAACAAAACAAAGCAAAACAAAACAAAGCAAAAACACAGCTCTGTAAAATGAACTGCAGTACACCCTGAACTACTGAGATAATTTGTTATTATCTTGCTATTACACCTTGCTATTACAGGCAGCTTAACTCCTGATAGTTCCCACATAAAAACATTGTGACAGCTTTCTTTTCCAGGGAATTACATATTGCACTACAAAGTGACCTCTCATGACTCTCATGTGTTCTTGTCATATATAATACACAGAACATACAAAATGTCTCAGCTAACTATAGTATTGATAAAATTTCCACCAAGAGTAGGCAATTAGTAAAGTTTCTGGGGAATCAAAAGTCATTTGTGGATTTTCTACTGGGAAGATCAGTTCTTTAACCTGGTGTTGTTCAACGGTCAACTATAGTCTCAAAATATGAGAAAGAACTGTAGAACCTTAAACTTCACAATTAGCTCTAAGTGTATTAGGCAATAATATCTCTAGGAGATGAAAATATTTAAATTATGATCAGTGAGTTTTGTTTAAAAGAATAACATCTTATAAAAAAAAGTAACATCTTAATTTAATTTCTACCTTGAATGATTAAAATTAAAAAGTGGATATGCTTCAATACTCAAAAAGGTTATGCATGTTCACTATGTCATTCCAAAGGCAAGGTAATAGTAAAATAAAAGTTAAACAGAGCTACGGTTGGCAAACAAACTATAATTTCAATCATAAAGAAGATATACAATATTAAAATACTGAATAAGACTAACATGCTTAGCAATCAAGAGTACAGTGCAATGACCTGGCATTCTGAGCACACTGACAAACCCCCTCTGGCTTGGCATGTGTGCTTCGTGCCATTTGAATGCTGGTCGCTTGGTGTTAAATGAACAACTAAAAGCCACAGCAAAAACAAACAAACAAAAAAATCTGCTATTGGGGATGGAGGTGGAGCTCAGTGGTACAGTGCTTGCCTAGCATGCTCACGGCCTTGGGTCTGAACCCTAGCAGCACAAAACAAAATGATGAAAAACAAAATCTGGTAGTCTTTACATACTTATTAGCAGAATTTGTACTTTTTATAGCACAAGTACGGTAGTCATTTTAGGATTCAAGCAAAAATTTGTACATGGCAAAGTTTTAATGACCCAGTATGTACCAGATGAGCTGAATCAATGTAAGAGCAGCAAATGCTTTACGATCACAGCAACTTAAACTCCAGGGCCATTTAGAATATGTAGTTATATAATCAATTTTCCACTGTTTTTCAGCCAGTCTCTCCATAATAATAAAAATGGTGTGCAGGTTTTTTTATTTGTAATTATCATTTTTAAAAGGCAAAATTCCAACTTTCTTTTTTTGTGTTTGTATGAAATATAACTTCATCCATATTATCTTTCTTTCTTTCTTTCTTTCTTTTTTTTTTTTTTTTTTGTCTTTTTCGTTTTTGTCGGTACCAGGGATCGAACTCACGACTGCCTGCTTGCAAGGCAGGGCTTATGCCGCTGAGCTAAATTCCCAGCCCCCATCCATATTATCTTTCTAAGAAAAAGTCATATTGCATTAAGAAAGTATGAAAAATTTCAGTCCAGAAGAATATTTTGTGATAGAAAGTTTAAAAAACTCAGAAAAATATTTAAATAAAACTATTTTTTAACCAAAAATATGTTCCACAATGCAGCTGATTTTGAAATGAAGATAAGCAGGACAACACTTAACCAAATAACACGATCTAAGACCCTTCTTTAGAATATCTGTATCTCATTTAGTAGACCATCTAGCAATCCAACTTTCAATGTCGTAGTGACATAGAAGAAAAACCACAGAAAGCGAATGCCCCTATGAAGTGATCTTACTAATAAACTTGGACTTGAATCTGATCAAGACTCTGGATCTTTCAATTAAAAAAAAGTAATGGGGGGGGCTGGAGATTTAGCTCAGCGGCATAAGCGCCTGCCTTGTAAGCAGGCAGTCGTGAGTTCGATCCCCGGTACCGATAAAAAGGAAAAAAGACAAAAAAAAAAAAAAAAAAAAAAGTAACAGCTCAAAGAAACATTAAAAGAACGTAATCATCAAAATCCAATTTATGAGAAATGCTGTAGGACAAATGACCCATTTTTTTCAACAGATAAATTCACAGAGTAACTCAACACTTTATTAAACTTGCAGCTTCAATCTCATCACCCTGAAACCTGACGGAGTTTCATACTCCCTGGACTCTTCTATCATGGCACTTGCACACTGGACTGTGGTCACACAGCCTCCCATTATACTACCAGTAGACCAGAAAATGACAGTGTTGCTTAGAACAGGGCTCTGAATTTAGAGAAAATCCCAATGCTGCCTCCTGTACAAAAAGAAGAACAAATCTGGAAAGAATTTTGCTGCTCAAAGGAATTCTGAAGGATTCCATGAGAAAAATACATGTAAAATATGTACATAAAATATCTTTTTCCATAAGAAAAATTCTGTAAAATATATCAAAAGTGCAAAAATTTACACCAATGTTTGGGATAGCATAGGTATCTGATGACAATAAATAAGACCATTAAGCAGGAAGATTAAATAATGGTAAAATTCATCCTTTGATTTCATCCAGCCACATTCTTATCGCCAGTGACGAGTAAAACGTCAAAAACCCAAAATTAATAACAACAACCAAAAGGTTGCTGGGCCTGACCCTGAGTACTAAGAACAGCTTAACTGCAGCAAATACTACCTAACAGTATGGAGTTAAGGGCTTAACTTGACCAAGTCTGGTAAGAGCAATGCAATTTATTTTTTCAGAGCTCTCAATATAATTATCTTCAAGCATAGTTTTAATAATATGGCAAACATATTTAATAGCTTTTTAAAAATCAGCCTTTCTATCAACCAACTTTTCCACCTGAACACTAGGTGGCATAACTCACACACTCTGATCCAGCCGCTGAAAAGTGATACAATAAATAAAACTAAAAACTCAACATAGTATCATCCAAAATCCCAAAAACATTCATTTAAAACTGTTGAAGAGTCCTAATGTGAAGGTAAATTTTTTCAAATAATATGAGAATACTTACATCTTAATTTGTCCAGCATTTTTCCACCACACATGGTTGCTAACATAGCCTTAACTGAAAATACCGTCAACTTGCCTCGGCCCTCACTGAAAAATAAATATTAGAAATAATTGTTCTCTGCAACCACAAAAGCAATCAATGTATCACTACATATTGAGCACCCAGTAAAATGACTCCTATCCTTATAGGTTACAATTTTACCATATTTAGAAACCCTGGATTTTGTCCTTTTTCCTCTATGTTAGGTGAAGAATGCTGAAGCTAACCTGAATTACCTTGAAATGAGGTTTTAGGCCAGTCTGTAAAGTATTTCAATTGGCTCTAAACGCAAACGCGACGTAGATAAACCTGAATTATTGCTATTAATTAAACTCATTTTACTCACATGTGAGGTGTTTTTAAGATAGTCAAAATTGAGGGATTACCTGATCTGAACAACGCAGAAAGGTGTCCCTTACATGAGGACACTATCACAAAAGTTTACTGCTATGCACTAAACAATAAGGGCATGTGGCAACCAAGATTGTATAGTAATTCATCTTTGTTTTCATCGTAACAACACTTGTGTCTCTATGTAGGTGTTCATTCTAAGAAGCTTAATCATATCTGTTTCAGATCTTCTCTGACACCACTGTGAGAAAGGAAAGGGACATTATAAATACTGACTCCTTTTTATGAACTAGAAAGATGAAAAGAAGAAAACATAAGTGAATTACCCAAAGAACTCAGACCACGTACCAACAGAACCTAGACAAGGCCACCAAGGTGCCCTGACCCACATTTACTGCTCCTTTCAGCCATGCCTTGGTTCACTGCAGACAAAAAAATTCCCTTGCTGATTGTTAAAGTCAGTGTATGTAAGTTAACAACGGGTGTCTGTGTCACTCTCATAGAGCCTGTGCTCATAGTTTCATAGTAACTTAAAGCAAAATACCTTTGCAATAAAAGGAACCATATCATCTTGCTTTTGAATAGCAAATGCCTTCCCATTTATACTAACTGTCCTAAGGGAGTGCTCCTCTGTTTCCAGATCTTCCTCACAGAGAATGATCACTACACTTCATTAAGCTTATTCATAAAACAGAAAACTCTGTAATCAGATAAATAAAATTAGAATGGGCTTTCATTTTTGTTTGTTTTGCTTCTTTACTGGGATAGGGTGTAACAATATATTTCAAGTTGACCTTGAACTCCTTATGTAGGCCAGGCTGGCCTCAAACTTGCAGCAATCCTGCCTCGGCTTCCCAAGTGCTGAGATTACAGGTGTGCACCACCAAGCGCAGCTCAGGATGGGCTTTTTAAAAAATACATAGTTCTTCACAGATAAAAGTACTGCTCCATATGTGCTATCACACATGCTATCACAGACTGACTGTGCTATCACAAAAAAGAATGAGAGGTCAGGTGTGGTGGTACACTTCTGCAATCCTAGCACTCGGGAGGCTGAGGCCATGACTTCAGGGCCAGCCTGGACTACATAAGCAAGTTCAAGGCCAGTCTGAATACATGCAAGACTTTGTCTCAAAAGAGAGAGACAAACCCATTTTATTTCAAAAAGAAAAATAAATAAATAAATAAACGTTTAAAGAGATGGACAGACATAGAGACACAAAGAGAAAGATGGAGATGGCAGGCAGAAGGAGAGGGAGAGAGGGACCTAACCTCAGTCTAAAGAGAGGAATTTTTTTTTTTTTTATCGGTACCGGGGATCGAACTTGCAACTGCCTGCTTGCAAGGCAGGTGCTTATGCCGCTGAGCTAAATCCCCAGCCCCTAAAGAGAGGAATTAAAGAATAGGGATTATTTTTGCTGGGCATAGCGGCACATGCCTGTATCCTAGCACTGAGGGAAGCTCAGTCACGAGAACTGCAAGTTGGAGTCCCGCCTGAACAATTTAGCAAGATCTTGTTCCAAAACAAAATAATAAATAAAATGAGCTAAGGCTGTTAACAGTTTAGAGATCCCCTCAGTTACTTTGACCCCCAGTATCACCAAAAAAGGGACACATTTTAATTTATAAATATCAAAAATGTTTATACTAGAATAAAAGGTTCAGGTCAATAATCTAACCTTCCAATTTAAGACACCAGATAAAACAGCAAATTAGATGCAAACCAAGAAAATAGGAAAGTATGTATTAAAACAGTGAAATCAAAACAAAGAAAAAAAATCAAAGAAATCAAAAGCTAGTTCTTTGCATGAATCAGAACTGATAAATCTCTAGCCAGAGAGGGGAATAAGAGAAACAGAGAGACAAACATGAATTACCAAAATTAGGAGTGAAAAACAGTACATCAATGAAGATTCTATAGACATTAGAGAAGCAAGAAAACTACAAAAACAACAGCTATGTCAACAATTTGACTTACATACAAATACTCCTTGAAAAACAAACTAATCAGTTCACTCAAAAGAATATTAGGTTTTTATCTATTATACAAACTGAATCTATTTTAAAGTCTTCACAAAAACAAAGCTTTTTATTCAAAGAGCAGTATAACTGCATTCCTTTTTATGAAAGTTTACAGATTGCAAGTGAAGAATTAAAAATGTGTTGCTCCAAATAATATAGCCATCTTTCAGAAAATCCCAACGAAACTACCCCCCAAAAAGCTACAGAAACAGTGCAAATGAGTTTACCAACTTAGCAGCATACAAGGTCAAACACAAAATCCAGTATTACTTCACTGTGCTAGCAAAACACAATTGGAAATATGAAAACATAAAAAGTATGAAATACTTTGGTAAAAATCTCTTTTTAAATACATGATCAAAGTTGTATGCTAAAAGCTCCAAAATACAAACGCAAAGAAAAAAAGAGATTCACCATGTTAATGAAATGGAAAATTCAACACTGTAAAGTTGTCAAGTCTCCCTAAACCAAGCAGGATCCTGTTGTCATTCAAAGCAGCCCTCAGAGGTGATGGTGCCCTCAACCCTGCACTTTACTTAGCACACAGCACACTGACCCCAGACACATGAAGGTCACTTCCCCACAAGTGAATTTGCAGCAGACACTAGCCGGGTGCCCTCTGATTCAGTTCCGACATGACCCATCTGGAGACAGCAGCAGATCCCACATGTTGAGCACTCAATCTCATAAGACTGTCCCCAACTTCAGAAGCCACTTCTGACCACCCACCTATAAACCAGGGATTCCCACAACCCATCCATGGCTTTGATTAATATGCTAGAGTGGCTCACAAAACTCAGGGAAACACCTTACTGATGTTTATCTGTTTAATGAATAAAGATCATTCAAAGAGTACAGAACAGCCAGAAAAAGAGAAGCAGAGTAGGTACAAAGGAGTGTGAGATTCCTTGCCCAGCCATGCCAAATGTTCAGTTGCCCAGTAGTTCAAACTCAGTTCTTTTGAGTTTTTAATGAAAGCTTCAGTATGCAGGCATGAATAATTAAATCCCGGTCACTGGTGTTTAACTCAACTCTTGGCCCCTCTCCACTCCCCAAAGTTGGGGGATGGGACTGAAAATTCCAACCCTCTAACCACACAGATTTGGTTCCTCTAACAACAACCTCCTACTCCCAGCTACATGGAAGCCCACCAAGAGTTATGTCATTACAGCAAAAGATGCTGCTATCTCCCAGGAGATCTCAAAGATGTAGGAGCTATGTCAGACTTCTTACCACTCTAGAAATTAGAGGCCTTACAAGCTCTGTGTCAGGAACCACGTATCAACAAAAGATTCTCCTCCCCTACTGACATTACCTACAAAGGTATCAGGAGCTCTGTCTCAGAAATAGGACAGAGACCAAACATTAAAAGAGTCTTCCAGCACCTCCATCTCTTAGTTTTACAAAGATATTAGAAGCTCTGTGCCAGGCGCTGGAGCACAAAAGAACAATGTCTGTATTTCTTGTTATTTCACAAACCTCAACCAAATTCACAAAATGGTATTTTTGTAGAAATTAGTAAGAAAATTAATTGTGCAACTTTGGATTTCTAAACCTACTTCCCAATACGTATTCTTTTTCCAGTGCTGGGACCAAACCTGGTATTGGTAGATTAATAAGCTGTAGCTTATTCAGATGCCTAAAGCTCACCTTACTTTTGTTATGTTTATCAATCAAAGCAGCCCTCAGAGGTGCTTATTTTAATATGTTATTTTAATAACATATTAAAGTTATTAAATATGCATATATTTTGTTTCTTCATGCCATGTTATTTTAATATGCATCCAGAACTGAGAACTAGCAATGTAAAAGCTTTGAACGCAATACTTTTATTTTGCTGGCATTGATAAATCAATAAAAGATTAAAGAAAATTAAAAATACTGTGTTTACATAAATTTTCTTCACTCCCTTCAGAGACCTGTTCTTGCTCCAGAGAAGAAACTGGCTCTGTGTATGCAAACCAAAGGCAGGTGTAGCAGAGAGAGCCCAGTGTACCACGAAGAGAACAGGTCAGGCTTTCCACTCGCGGTGAAGCAGCTGCAGCCCATTACATCCCATCTGTATCTGCAACCTATTATATTCATCTCCATGTGGCAGGTTTTATTGGCATCTTCTAAAACTTATTACAATAATTAACACATACATTTTTCCTAATCTTCAAAATGATTTAGAAATACTAATATTTTGATATTTTACATCCCTTATTAAAAATATTCACTAACTCAACTGTTAAAATAGACCGAGAATTACATAAAGTATTGAACAATAGATATAACTGTCAATTAACCTGGAGAGGCATTAGAACACCTGCCTACATTCTTCTCCATTCATTGAAACTATTATTCTTCTTGATGGTAGCCTCCAAATCAAATAGTCTACACTATTCAAGGTCAGGGTCTCTGCAGAAAGAACACTCATCAACCTCTCAATTATTACCAGTAATATGTGGTCCCGCAATGGGTCATCTCTTACATCCACTTTGTAACCATTTTTCTTATCTACAACAGCTGCACAGCACATACAACCTCTCACTCAAAAAGTCATAGATTCTCTCCTGTCTCTTAAGTGAGCTTGTCTTAATTATAAGCCAACATTCCACTTAGAATGCTCAGTATCATTTACAATGTCTACTGTCAAAAGGCTAATTCACTCTTGAAAAAAACTACTAAATAT